TCTGTTATTACGTATCATATACGTAAAAAAGGTAGCCTTGTGCCTGAAATTAAATTTTTTGATCAAAAATGTACCCACCTAAACCATTTTAAAAATATTTATTGAATACTGAAAATATTCTTGCAATCAAACTCATGTCTAATAAGCATATTCAAATGATAACCTTTGAATAAAGATTTATTATGAATCTATAAATAATTTATTGTAGTTGACTTTTTATTACACATAGTTATTCTTTCTTTTACCTTTTTTTTTAATCATTGCTCTTACTTTAGGATAACATTATCCTGTGTTGTAAGGACGTTTTACAAACATAAATTTCACGTGGACAAACACCCAGATGCGAAACAACTATCTGTGGGTCGCACAAATAGTTGTTCCGTGTGGAAATCGAACCCACGACCTCCGACGCCGAAGCCAATACCTTTGCAACTGCGCCACGGAGTTATGAGAAATACAGGTATTTTTTAGTTTTGTTTTAGGAATTGATAGTGTCCTTGATGACGTCAGCAGAAAGACAAAAATGTACAGAGAACGTTAAAAACAATAATCCTAGTAGAGGAACGAATAAAAGAAAAAATTGTGTTGAGAAAAAAAAGACTATAAAAAAATATCAAGGTTATCAGAAACCGAAACAGCTAAAGAACTTGGCGATAACTAAAACATAACTAAAATATTGATAAACCAAACGAAATAGTCGTAAATTATGTGAAACATTAGTTACCAAAAATTAAAAACAAAAAAGAAAAAGATATTCTAAAAAGAAAGGTAAATGCCATAAAAAATTTTACAGATAGCAACTGTACCTGTTACGAAGAAACAAATAACAGTTCCTGTTCCACAAAAATTGTTCCTTAACACGCTGTCACAAGCTTTCTTTATTCATGCTTACGACAGTCACCTTAGATAGAATGAGATAAAAACTGTTACACCTTGTATCAGTTGTTACTGAACACTGTCACTGCCACAAGCTCTTTCTTTTTCTTACATCGGTTATATAACTTTGTTAGAAAGAAAATTACGGACGTTGCAATAGAGTAATATAATGTAAATGGTAACAGTTACAGAAACGCATGAGCACATGCGCGGCCCTACCCACAGCGGAGGGCCCAAACCCGTGGGTTCTGGCTAAAAAAAAGTTCAGTGTGCCTGAAGAACTTCGTCGTTCTGACCATGGTTATCATTGGCCCATTGAATTGGCAAATTATAAAGGTGGCTATATATCAAATAAACAATCTGAAGTGCAATGTAGGAGCCTTAATGTTCAATGTTAATGATAAAAAAACTTTTAGATGATATATAAAAACGTTAATGATAATAACTTTTAGATGATATATAAAAACAAAGATATTAAAAATAACAATATTACGAATGGGGAACTCTTCCTTGAGCGGCATCCAATGAACCTGCTGTCTCAACATATTGTTTGTTTTTTTTTTATATTAGCTGGATTAATATTACTTGGAGTGTATTTAAATGTATAAATTTTACTCACTACAGTTAACTAACAGCCGACATTGAGGTAAGTTTAAAAGAAAGCTTAAAGGCATACAGTCTTACGAAATAATGACGTGGTCGGCAGGCAAAACTTATAGATTCTTGTCTTTTTTAAGTATAATTAACAAGAGAATAAGCTAGAAAAGGAAATTATAAAAATTATACCAGAGAAAGCTGTCGAACAAAGTGCTTGATGGTACAAAGTAGCTATTGATGATTAATATGCTTAAAAGTTGTGAAACGATTTAGTTCATATTTGAAGGAACTGCAATGCAAAATTCCTCTGCTACAAAAGGGCGAAAATAACTGGGGTTTTGCCCAGCACAGCAATAATATTTGAGCAGCGTCAGAACAAAAACCGATACATTTTTTTTGTAAAATTAAAAATAATACATATCTCTGGATTTCCAATTTTTGAGACGAACAAAGTTTACTTGTTTATAAGTCTTGATAACACCGTTTTGATATCCAAATAACACTTGTGTGCAGTATGTGATGAGATATTTAAGACTCAGACTGACTGATATGTCATTGTATAACATCATATTTTTTTAGATGTATTAGTTTTAAACTCCGCATTCCTAGTTCTTTATAAAATGTTTCTAGATGTTTGACATTCTTTATACTCCAAACTACAATTACAAAATACAATTCGATTGATTTATCGGTTTATGGTCAGATTAGTATGTTTCGAGAAAGTTTTTAGTGGTTTATAGATTTGATAAAAGCTGCCTATACATATGTACGTAAACTGTAGATTGCCATACTTGTAAACTGTTAAAATGTGATTTATCGGTTTTTGTTCCGACGCTCCTCGGTTCATACTATAGATATGTTATACGCATAAAAATTCACCAAGTGTTCCCATTTCCAGTGACAGCACACATTCGTTTCGTTCGAAAGGTATAAAAAGGTTAAGGTAATAAAAGCAATAAGAAACAAAAAGGACGGCAGTGTTTCACTTCAAGTGTAAAAAAAAATCTCGAATTGCATCAGTCTTTCTCGTCCCCATATTATACCTATTTTTTGTCAGATGTTAACTACGAGGATTTTCTTCAAGAAATATAATGTGACTACGTATTATTTTATTCCTTTTTGAAGTAGAGGGAATACTATCACCACCAATTTTTTTCTTTTAAATACTTTAATCACTTTAATAACCTTATGGTAAAAAACCTGGTGTAAATGGCATCTTCCAGCAAAGTTATTTATATCACCACCTCCAAAGCACTTAGCTTAGAGGTGGCGATATAGTCCGGCCAACTCAGTGTTACTTCAACTTGAAAATTGTAACTCTGTTCCTGCTCCTGACAAAAGAATAGCGTAACAGCCAACTTTGCCCCATATTTCTACAAAACGACCAGTGCGTTCAGCACCAGTAATAAGAGATTCTTCAGTTTCCGGTGAGTCAGAAATCGACGAAGAATTGTGGACGAAAAAACTCTCACTAATGGTAGACCAGATCCTAGTGTCTATGACGAAATACAAATGGAACCTGTATAAGGAATCAATATCAAAACTAGGAAAATAAACTAACTTTTTTTTATATGTCATAGATGAAGCTACGACTCGAGTTTCAAATAAGAGCTTCAATAAATATTTACCACACATTCAAGAACCGATCAACACCACAACACTGCACAATGGAATAGTAACGTCATCAAAATTTGATAATCAAATAAAGTTCCATAGATTATCAGCTAAAAGATTTTTTTTACCTTGCTTTTTTACAATTGCTTCGGGTTCGCAATGATGCACAAAGTTATACCTTAAAAGATAACTGACGGTAGACCCTACTGAATTGACACTGCGCCCATTTTTTCTGTTATATAATATGTACAACCCGCATTATTAACACATACATACACATATTTGAACATAATAACACCACTCTGCGTCGGGGTTTAAAATAATAAAAAACCATCAAAAAAACCACGAGTCTAGCCCGCGTCAGTCTAATAGAGGTATCGTACCAAAATTTCTCAAGATGTATGAACAGGTCAATCACGAAACTAGATCAGTTAGTAGAAATGAGCTTTAATCTTTCATTGTTACCCGAGCATCACTTATCGTGAGTCATCATAAGAATTAGCAGTGACTACCTACTTGATTTGATTGCATTCCACGTAAGGACGTACGTTATTCTATCTATATAGATACATAGTAAATATTGTAGCAATTATTATTTTATTGCACTACATACAACTATTTTTATACTATGAAAATATTAACGGTACTGCAAAATTTAAAAGCGCAGTGCACTGATTTTTTTAGAAACAAACTCGTTCTTGTGGCAATAGGGATTAAAAATGTAGCGTATAAATTCTATACAAATAATTTTATAAAGTGTAAAAAAAAAGCGAGAAGCTAAAGTTGCTTAAAAGATGCAATGAGGACGAAGTTAAAGTATCTAACAATATAAGTTTCTTTAATCGAAAAAACTAGACGCAGACTGGAATCATCATATAATCCAAATTAAACAAATTTTCTTTTCAGACATTTTTGACAAGTCAATATCTACATAAAAAAAATATCTTACATAAAATCGATAGTATTTTCATAGAAATAATCAATCAATGGTTATTAAGTCTGTTAAGACCTAAAGACTGTACTTACTGGCAGTTGATATGATGTTGAATAAACCTAAAATTGGAAAATCATATTCCTTAAATTTTACAATTCATACTAATGGACTTTCTTTATTCTGATCTATTACAATGTTATTTGTAACAGATATATTAAAATACCTTACAGAATAAAATTATTATCTATTGATCAATTTCATGTCAACAAAGAAAGCCAAGAATTGAACTGTTTATTAAATTATAGGTATACACAAATACAACACGTTGGTTTGCAGTTTCGTTACCATAATTAGTACATTAATATCTTTTTTTTATATTATGCACACATAGCTGGCTATGTGTCTTAATGCCTTTTAGCATATAAACTGCACTTGGAAAACTTTGAAAATAAAATAAAAAGGAATATGTACACATCTAAGGAAACAACCCTACAATTTTGTATTAAAATTTTATTTATACATTTAATTATCCTAGAAGTCCATTATTCTAAACCTAAATTTTCAAATAACAGCTATTTGAGAACTTAATACTGAGTAAGTCAGGAAAATTAAAATTATCATGATCAATTTCATAATCTTATGTCAACTTAACTCTGATCTCATAACCTAGCATCTGTTTCATGGGACTTGTTACATATTAATCCTATGTTGTTGTACTTAATTATCCGTAAAAAGTTTACTTCACAAACTATGTAAAAATCTTAAAAATATGTCACGAAAGTACCTAAAGTACTACAATAAATAGAAGACCAACTTACATATCAGTACATTATTTAAAAGTAATCTATTCATATTTCTCAATAAGACAAAAAGATAAGAGCTCCAAACTACATGTTATTGGTTTCCTGACGGCTTCTCCTAGTTGGTCTCGAGAAGACCAGAGGTGTAACTAGTGCTCCGGAGCGTACTGCCTACACTAGCTCGGTATAGTCTGCTCTACTAGTGTACTTAGCACGAAACCTAGAGATTGAAAAAATTCATCAGTCATGTACCAACAGTAAATGTAAATGAGGGCTGTCTTCATAGCATTAATCTTAATGAGCGATAATTAAAGTTTGCTAACACTGCCTATTCTCAATTAATGCTATGTAGTGCTCTATTGTCACAACCTAAAATAAAGAACCCAATTACTTTAATCATCCTATAAAAAGGTTGTGGTGAGTCTATGAATAGTTTATGGATTCTTTTTGTGATGTGATATGAATTTAAAGAGGTATACATACATTGCTTAAAACCTTCCTCCTCTTCCTTGGCCTCCCCCATAGTTTCCACTGCCATAGCCACCGCCGCCACCACCACCTTGATTCATGTTGTATGGGGCAGTGCGATTATTACTATATTGCTGATTCCTTGTGGGGCCCCCGCTATAGCTCTGTTGGCCATAGTTACCAAACTCTTGGTTTCCACCCCAGCCCCCACCACCACCTCTTTGGTTTCCACCTCCATATCCACCACTTCCTTGGTTACCACCCCAACCACCCTGGTTGTTGTCCCATGGGTTAGAATTACTCCACCCACCTTGATTGTTTCCATAACCACCTCCTGTAGTCATAAAAGATGTTTTGTCTTGATAACTTTCATCTACAAATTTATTTATTGTGGATTTAGGTGCTTTAGATTGTACTTAAAAAAATATATTAAACAACATTACTACATACCAGAACTACCCCAATTGTCATTTCCTCGCCTCTGTCCCTGTCTACCACCTCCTCCACCTCTCTGGTCAGAGCCATCCTTTGGAAGTGCTTTCTTTACATCTAATTGCTTTCCATTTATTTTATGAGGAGCATTTACTGAAAATTTATGTATCAACATCAATGGCATTACTTATTTAAGTGAAGTCTTAACAAAAATGAAAAGAATGTTCATTGACTTGCGTACCAGATCTGCCCTTAATATAGTAGCCCGGTATAGCTTTAATCAATGATTTAATCTCCACAGTTAGAGAAGCCAAACCTGGATATAGTTATACCATTTTGGGGCAAAACTGTGGAATCAAAATTCAATTAATGTGCAATACTTACAGCATACTTTGTCAACTGGATCATAGTCATCGAATTCTACGAATCCAAAACCGCGCTTCTTGCCGGTGGCTTTGTCAGTTACTATGCTAACATTTTGTACATTGCCGTAGTTAGAGAAATATTCACGAAGTTGATCTTCAGTGTGATCATCTTTTATGCCACCAATGAAAAGCTTTCGAACTGTTGCACCAGCCTCTGGGTTCTTAATATCTTGTCTGGCTACAGCTCTCTTTGTCTCCACAACACTAAAAGTTATATTGGGTTTAAGTATCTAATAAACTATAATGTGAACTTTTTGATTTTAATAAAAAAAGATATATTTTAAAGATGTCGACCCCACAGAAAATGCCACGTGTAAAATAACGAGACATTCACCAAGCAGTGTCATTTATTTTTTGCAGTTTGAAACGATATGAAAGCGAAAGTTAGCTTTCATATAGCTGGACTGCATTAAATAACTAAAATATGAAACAAAAAAAACTAAATCACTCACCGCGTATCAATCGTATGCGGTCTATTGTTCTGTGCATCGTCTACCATGTGGGCTTTCGAGTAAGTAATAAAGCCAAAACCTCGAGACCTCTTAGTCTTAGGATCTTTCATGACTACAACATCCACAATTTCTCCCCATTTTTCGAAATGAGCTTTTAATGACTCATCGGTAGTTCTATAGTTCAATCCACCGATGAAGATTTTACGGTGGACCTCGGGCTCATCCTGAGAAGTAGGGCGTACATACGTACATCATCAACAACAAAATGGCGGATGGCGTGGTTTCATAAAATGAAAGACATCTTGTATATTAACATGAAAATAAAGCAATCCATACACAAATTAAGGGCAGTTATATTAATTGCAATTATGGCAAGTTAATACGATCAAGATAAAATATTTTTTTTTAACAAGTGCTAAGTTTTCATTCATGCCCATCCAATAAAATCGATAAAATTACTTACGAAGCCATCATCTCCATTTTGCTGCGGTCTCATTTTTACAGCTTTCGATAAGACAAAGAAACAAAATATATTCTGTAAAGTATCTTTTTAACGCGTAATAAAACGGAAACACCGGGATAACTACAGCGATACAACCGTTGCCAACCGAAGCCACGCCAAAAAGAACGTTCAAATGACACCAAATTGCTGCGTTGGAAAATTACAGTGAAAAAAGTAAACGGTAAAATTGTGCTGCCAGTAAAAAAATGGCTAATATTCCGAATAGTACGTCTCGTTTTTCAAGCTAGAAAAAAATTTTAATCGATAGAGAAATGTTAATAATTAAATATTACATACGTGAAAACCAAGGCAAACACTTACTTTTAATAAAAAAAAATATTCATGGATGATCAATTTTTTTTCTCTTTCACATAATAACTGTAATCCATCACTTTCGGCTTTCTGTTCCAGTTTTTTTTTTTGTATTCAGTAGCTTTTTTACTCTTTAATGCAAGCTTTTAGAACTGGCCATATTACTACGAACCTGAAACCAAAAGGCAATCTATTCAGTGGGTATTTCCTTTTGAGGATCAGCCAACTAAATTAAATAAAGGAAGAAATCAAGGAAAAAAGATAATTGTCTCGTTCTTTGGTCAGAAGGTCATTTCGCGACAACTGTGTTGGATGATGGAAGTACTCTACAATCAAAGATAAACTTTGTGCTTTACGAGCCCTGAAGATGCAGTGAGTGCCACTGCTTTTTCTCAAAGTTCCATCGAATTCTAAGATGTATAGAAAGGAATGGAGACTGCTTAGAACAACAATAAAAGTATTTGCAACTCTTTACATTGAACTGTTTTAAGATTTTGTAAGAACATTCAGTTGGCCCACATGTTAGGCATTACAACTACTCTAAACAAAAGAGACATACGCAAACCAAAAGCAATTTTTAGGCTAGCAAAGTGATGGCTTCAGTTATTTGGGTTACTAAGAATCCCAAGATAGTATGAAAAAATAAGACAGCTTACTTTGGAGAAGCTAAGTAGCGCTGTGAAATCCGACTGCGCAAAGTATTAGAAAGAGGCGTGGGAAGTGGTCAACAGTGGCAATGAGGATCACTTAAAAAATCATTTCTAAAAGATTGCCTTGGTGGTGTGATCTGTGTATCTAAAGCGACTTAAAGAACCAATAAAACCATATGTCGATAACACAACTCTCTCTCTATCTCTTAATTTGCACAAGAGGCTATACAGGCTTAGTGTGGTGATAGTGAGATAGAATTTTCACAGATGATGTATGTTGCTGCTATAACAACAAATACTAAAAAACAGAATAAAAAATATTTAAGTGGGGCTCCCTTACAACAGACATAATTTTTTTGATATTTGTGTAAATGATGGTACGGAACCCTTCGTGCGCGAGTCCGACTGGCACGTGGCCGGTTTTTTTATTAATGCTTCGAAAACGCACTTAAAATTGCCGGCACCCATAATTGAACTCAAGCTGTTCGAGTATATTGTATTAAAAGCGAGCGCCCTGGATACTGAGCTATCACGGCTTGAACCACGTTCAAGGGTTCGAACCCTTTCAGCGCTCATAGTCATGTGACATGGTCTTTATCTCCGAGTTATAAGGTCGATTGTCATTCTGCGTTGGTATTCATCTCACTCATATATACGTTCGTAGAACGCATCTCTATCACTCTCCAATGACGTCTTGCAGGGCATCGAGTTCGAGTACGAAATCAGTATACAGTTTGCACCGAAATGAAATAGCTATTATGGCAAAGTAACATATCTGGAAGAGAAATATATACGGTATTCGTTTTATCTTTGTCGGTGTAACCGGCAGACTCCAAGCTATTTTGACATTTACGTGTCAACCATTCCCGTAGTTGAGAGATTTCGTGTTTTTTACTTAAATATAACAATAATTTTATCATGTTATTATAATTCACCTATTAAGTAAAGTGTTTTACAAATCTTTATCATGTTGCAGTGCTGTGTTGTCGAAACAGAACAGAACATAATTACGTGAAGTTACACTTCACAGGAAATTTATTTGATTGGCTTCGCCTCAAACGGATTCGTGGTTTATTATATGTTGTGTCTTTTATAGATTGTGAAGCATTAAATAAAATTGCAAGAAAAAACCTTTTTCGTATTTAATACAAAAATTATTCTCTTGTCACTCCCATGATTGACTGGACATTGGCAGAATTCTTTAAAGAGAAGCCATTCTTTAAAGAAAGAAAGAAGATTTTTTCCATAGGAAAATAGAGAAATAGGAAATCAATCCATTTTCTCTGTTCCCTTGGTATCATTGAGATGTTGATATAAGCCGATTAACAATTGACATTCGACAATATAGAGAATACAACCACTAGGTTAGTTTAACAATGACGTTGGCGAAGAATATATCGATATATCGATGTTTTAAAAAATATCAATATCAGCCTCGATATATCGAAAATTTAATGTATTTAGTTCAATTGGTCGGTTTAGTCGAACCCGCAGAGAATTGTCCTAAATTTGCCTACATCAGGTAAAATTTAGTATTAGTTGTTTGATTGACATGAAAATGCAGAACGACAATTTAAAAAAGTTACTTATGTGCTTAAATGATAATTATTTCTATGATGTCAAAGAATTTTTTTATGAAAACTAGATATTTGTAACGATCCCACACCATGCCACGCCGAGTCAAGCCAAGCCATGCGATGCCAAGCAATGCCACATCATGTCATTAGAGTAAAGTGCCGGAAACATTGACCTAGCGCCACTGTTGATTATTGTAACGTCACATCCACCAGCTGTCAGGAAAATTTTAAATTCTCTGTCCCTTTGGGTATCAATTAAATTGTGATTGTTTTCAATAAATACTTTTAATATTAAGGACCATTTCATATTATATTGTATATGTTACATTTGTTGATTAGTAATCTCAGATTATACATACTCTTTTGATGTCAACTCTGACCTGTTTGGTTTATGTATTAATGTTTTAATTACTTTAAATTAAATTTGGAATGTTAGTTTTATTTGTTCAGACTGAATTGTGTCATGTTTGAATGATTCCGTAAAAATTGCTTAAAGAAGTAACATGTCCATCTATCTAACACAACTCTTGTATTTTATATAAATTTCATAATCATTACGTTTGCTCTAAAATAAGTTCAAAATGTTTAAGTTGAAATAAACAGTTTTCTTATCAGTCCTTAAGTGTCTTTTTGGTTTGAGAGCGATCCCATGAGCCACATCCACCATTCAAGAGGTTATGGGCCCAGAAACATCTATATTTTTGGAGATTTTCCAGTTTTTGAGCAAAAGTGACAGCTGCGAAGAAATTTTCATAGATGGACAAGCCCATCAAACCATTATTAGAAAAAGATACTATCATTCAAGACTTGAAACAAATTAAATTAGTAAGTTACTTTGAAAATTCTTGAATGGTGGACCACTTTGAAACCGAAAAGACACTTAAGGAGTGATAAGAAAACTATTTATTTGAACTTATTTTAGACCAAACGTAATGATTATGAAATTTATATAAAATACAGGAGTTATGTCAGATAAATAGACATGTTACTTCTCCAAACGATTTTTACGGAATCAATCAAATATGACAATTCAGGCCGAACAAATAAAACTAACATTCCAAAATTAAAGTAATTCAAACATAATACATAAATCAAATAGGTCAGAGTTGATATCAAAAGAGTATGTATAATCTGAGATTACCAATCAACACACCCCCTTAATCTCAGATATATATCATAACACAAGACAAGTACAGAAAACCCAAAAAATTTAGAAATTATACTCAAACATATTAACGTCCGATTTAAGGATTTATTAATTCAAATTAATATTTTATGAAAAGTTGTATATTGACATACACAGAAAGAACAGACATTAATAAAAGAACAATGACACTCAAAACAACTCTATGATGTAGTAAAAATCTTCAGCCAGTGTCTTCAACATCCTCCCTTTTTGACTACATCATTGTGAGTCCAATTTCTTTGGATATCTGAAGAAGCTTTGGTCTGTGAACCGCTTTTGTCAGAATGTCCGCCAATTGAAATTCTGTTTGTACATACTCTACTGTAACATCGCCATTTTCTACGAGTTCTCTTATGTAGAAATGTCGTATAGCAGTTTGAAACGTCGTGTCAGCTCTTTCATAAATCTTTTTGATTCTTGTGGATTACTTGAAGCAACAAGACCATCATCAACATATAACACCAATATGATTTTAGAATTCCTGGTGTTTCTTATAAACAGACAGTTATCATTATCACATTGCTTGAAGTTAATAGATGTTAGATAGACAACGATGCATTTGTTCCAGCACCGTGGCGCTTGTTTTAAACCATAAAGGCTTCTCATAAGCTTGCATACGTTATTTGAACCATCATTATAACCCTCAGGTTATTTCATGAAGATTTCTTCAGATAACGATCCATTCAGAAAAGCTGTTGACACGTCGAATTGTATTAGCGTTAGTCCTTCATTTGCAGCTATGCTCAATACTTAACGTATTGTAGCCATTTTGGCAACTGGACTAAATGTCTCTTCGTAGTCAATGCCTTTCCTTTGTGTATAGCCACGAGCTACAAGCCTTGCTTTAAATTTATCAAGAGATCCATCAGCGTTTGTTTTAGTTTTGTATACCCATTTGCATGAAACTGGCTTTCTGCCTTTAGGTAGTGGCACTAAAATCCAAGTTTTCATCTCCTTAAGTGATTTCATTTCACTATTCATAGCTTGAATCCATTGGTTCTTTTCTGGACTTGCAAGGGCTTCTTTATATGTCTTTGGATCTTCACCACTTGATAAAATATTTGCGGCAGACATCAAAACATAATCATCATATCGAACTGGTGGTCGTAGTTGAGATCTATCTCTCAATTGCATTCTCGATTCAACAGGTATCTCATCTTCATGTATATCATATTCAGAGATTTGTTCGTCATTTGAATCTTCATGCTCATTTACAGTTTGGTCAGGTAAATCATTAAATGTTTGAGGCACATCGCAAGTGGGTTCAATGTGAACTTCAGATTGAGATTCAACTTCAGATATTGGCAGATTAAATTCTGGCTCGCATTGTTTCTCACGTTCTTCCTCCCTTGCTTCATACATTTTATGATTGTCGTTGTTTGAAGATAGCTCTATTTCAATAGAAGATTCTTCAAAAACTTCAGGTTCCTCGAGACCAATAGATTTAATGACATTTTCATTGAACATCTCTAGATCTGATCAAAATATATTTTCCATTTTGTTCACGTTTTAGAAGACGGTAACGATCATCTCCATCATAGCCAATCAATATACATCTTTCAGCTTTCTTGGACATCTTTTTTCGCTTCTGTTTAGGAACATGTGCATAGAGCATTGTGAGCCAATTATTCTCAGATGTTTGATTGATGGCTTCCTATTAAACCAGAGTTCATATGGAGATTTATTTGGTACTGGAGTAGGTCCAGTCCTGTTGAGGATGTACGTCGCAGTTGATATTAATTCAGCCCAGTTGGCAACGGGTAATTGTTGAGCGTGCATCATACTTCTGGCGGCCTCGACTAATGTCCGGTTTTCACGCTCACTGCTTCCATTTTGTTGCGGCGTATACGGCATTGTAAGTCTTTGAGATGTACCTTCCTGTCGAAGTATTTTTCTCACTTTCTCATTGTCAAATTCTCCTCCATTGTCCGAGATGATCTCTTTAACTGAAAATCCGGCCACTTTATATTCTTGTAGTACTTGCTGTAGTTTCAAATGTACTTCAGACTTATGTTTGATACAAAATACATGACGATATTTGGTAAAATCATCTTTGAATAGTACGAAGTACTTATTTTTGTTGAAGGATTCCGGAAAAGGTCCACAAACGTCAGTATGAATGACCTCTCCTGGTGTCTTAGCTCGTTCTCTAGTCCCAAATTTTCGTCTGTACATTTTTCCATAAATACAGCCAGTGCATAATTCAGAATCCAGATTAACTTTGAGTCCAAGCTCGTGTTCAATAACCTTCTTAACATGCCTTTGGTGGGCAAACCTTTCATGATAAAGTTGCAGGACGTTATCAGTTGCTTCAACAGTGTTTAAGTTAGGAGCGATGTTTGTTAAACATTGAATATTTAACTTGTACAGCCCTCCGTTTTTCACTCGTTTTCCAACTAATTTAACTTTGCCGTTCACTTTCAAATAACAAACTTCTCTCTTTGATAAGAATTTGCTTTTGTCTAACATGTCTTGTGCAGCGAGAACTGAGAAGAGATTTCTTTTAATTTCAGGAACATACCAGACATCATGTAGTCTGAATTTCAGGAACATACCAGACATCATGTAGTAGGAAATTATATCAACCGCTCCTTTTCCAATAGCTTTAATCGTACCACTTGCTGTTGTCACTGTGTTATCTTGTTTGAAGTATTCAAAAGTGACAAAAATGTCGTTGCGAAAGGTGACGTGATGAGTGGCACCATTGTCGACACACCAATTATTTGGATCTTCAACTACAGTATTCATAGCTTGGCTTGTAGTGATTTGCATTGCCAAAAGGTTCGTTTGGTTGGTATTTTGGGAGACTGTTGGCTTGGGAGGTCTTCCCGCAGAAATCCATTTTGAGCAGTTCTTTATTTTATGTCCAATTTGTTTATAATATGAGCATTTCATCTTCTTTCCTTTCCGTTTGACATCATCTCTATTGCTTGAAGTCACTAAAGCTTCAGCAGCAGTGTCTTCATTTTTGCAAAGTAATGCTTTTTCATGTGCGCACAGTTGAGACGTAAGACTTTCTACAGTACGATTCTTTTTCGTCAGTAAAATCCAACTCGACTTGAATGAGAAATAGGCTTCCGGTAATGTGTCAAGTATTTTGCATATTAACAATATATCCGGGAGGTCAGACTTCTCATCTTTAACTAGTTCAGTCTTCAATTCAAACCAGAGGTTCTTGATCTTAGACAGATGGGTAGTCATGTCGTGTTCAGGATTCTTTTTGTAACTGAAGAATTGCATACCTAAATCATACGATCGGTCTTTGGAAGTTCCATCATAGAGGCGGTGAGGCTCGTCCCATACTTCTTGAGCAGTACGAAATCTCATAATTTTCTGTACATTTTCATCAGACATATTTGCTGTGAGTACCAGCTGTGCTGCGCAGTCAATTTCATGATACTTCTTAAGAGCTTTTTGATAAGCAGCCCTTGCTTCCTCTGACGCAGCATCATTGTCAGATAGCACTGGCTTCTTTAAGGTACCATTTATTGCTCGTTCCAAATCATTTGCCGAACCTCGAAGCAGTAGGGTTACCTTATGTTTCCAGGTTGGCCAGTTTGCAGCACATTCCAACTTTCCAATATTAATTTCAAATTTGTTCATGGTAATGCTAACGGTCTGCTACCATATTAAGGTCCGATTTAAGGATTTATTAATTCAAATTAATATTTTATGAAAAGTTGTATATTGACATACACAGAAAGAACAGACATTAATAAAAGAACAATGACACTCACAAAAAACAACTCTATGATGTAGTAAAAATCTTCAGCCAGTGTCTTCAACAAAACAAACCACCAAACATAAAGAATAATAACACACAACAAAAACCAAAACTCTTAATAAAAACCACAAAAATACAAGAAAAACAATACATTATAAAGGAAGAGATCAAAAATTATGTAAAATGTTTCTCTGAAAAATTCCGTTTTTAAATTTGATTCTTTCCCCTTTACAACAATCTCACACACGTGTTTCCACTGTGCGAAACTCTATTATTAACACCCCTTTGGGAGCCGGCAGGAGGGAATAATTAAGATGCAGTACAAAGAACAAGCCGTGTTAAGAAAAACAATCTTTTTATTGTCACTCGTTGCTATAGAAATTTGTCAATAAAAGGGTAATGCTAGACCGATGAGAGTAAGGGTGTAAAAGATAAGAGTGGTGCTACACAGTAGCAAATGAGTCGCCACATCCCCTTACATTTGCATTACCTACACTAAAAGGTTTAGAATTAAAATACTTAAATTTCTTAATAACGTCTATCAAGACAATAACACCACTGTGCCACATTGATGCAGCTGGTTTTAGATCGTAAAGACTTCTTCAGCCCACAAATCTTCCCCTTCAGCCTCTTTTTCAACAACCAACTCCCACGCGCCATTTCTCTCCAAAGAAAAAGCTCTCCTCCTCCACAGCCATTAACCATCGCTCCGTCGCACCGGAGCCAACCGCCTCCCAAAACGTAAAAGTGCACACAGCCAAAAAATCAAAAGATGTCATGACAGCTGATTATTTACCTTCTACAATGATCAGTGTTTCAGAAACCGGCTAAAAATCGGCTAAAAATATCGATATCTTGAATAAAAAATATCGATACATCGATATTTTTTCGACATCCCTACATTTTCAGACAACAGGACGACGTTTTCAGTACTACCAGCTTAGGGCTTTTAGCCCCAAATTTGGGGCGGAAATATGCATTATATGCTTTTTTTAGGGTCCAAAAAGTTTAGGGCAATTTTTTGGGGCATGAACTGAGTAAATAAAGAGGGAAATTTTAGTAAATATTATGTTGTTTTATTAGTTATTTCAACTATTACTAATGAAAAGTATTTAAAATTAATAATAATTTATATTTGTTTATCTTCAAAATGTAAATCAAAATGTAATCAAAATGTAAAACCCAAAATGACAGGGCCTTTTGGAGCTTTGCATTTTTCAGGGATATTTAGGGGTATTTCATCTTGATTTTAAGGGCGTTTTTTTAAATTAGTTGGCTACACTGGACATTTTGTTTTTGTGATCTTTATTTGTTGTTTCCGATTTCCATAATCCATAAGTCTTTCATATTTGTTTTAATTTGATACGCATTCTAACGCCCAAAATCTAAAAGATTCTAATATGAAGCATAGCGGAGGAGGTGATGAATTTGTACGTTTTTGATTTATATCGTAAAATAAAATTAAAGAATATAATTTAGATGAAACTTGAGTTTTCTAAGTTAATAACTAATAATATAATTTATTAGTTCAATCTTAAATATATGTTGTTATATTTTTTTATCTTTTAAATATTCCAGGAAGAACCTGAGCATCTTAGAAAATTATTTATCGGTGGTCTTGATTACCGCACCTCTGACAGCTCCCTCAAAGCATTTTATGAACAATGGGGTGAAATTGTTGATGTCGTTGTTATGAAGGATCCTCAGACGAAGAGATCCCGAGGCTTTGGCTTTATAACATATTCTCAGGCACATATGGTGGATGATGCTCAAAATAATAGGCCTCACAAAATAGATGGAAGGTGAGAATGTATTTTATAAATAATAATTTACAATTCTATAAGTTACAAATGTTGATGTTTTATTATTTTTATTTATATTATAGAGTTGTTGAACCTAAGAGAGCTGTCCCTAGGGAGGAAATTAAAAGACCTGATGCTAGTGCCACAGTGAAGAAATTGTTTGTTGGTAATTTAAGGAATGAAATTGAGGAAGAAGACCTTAGAAATTATTTTACACCATATGGTAACATAGTCTCAGTGACTGTAGTTACTGAAAAAGATACAGGAAAGAAAAGGGGCTTTGGTTTTGTTGAATTTGATGATTACGATCCAGTTGACAGAGTATGTTGTAAGTAATAATGAATTAATGTAATAAATGGACATCCGATTATATGAAATCAAAATGCCAAAATATGCATGTATACAGGGTGATTTTTGAATGTTAATTGAGCATTCCATAATTTAAAAAACATATTAATATTTTATTTTGACCAGAAATAACTGGAAAAATATCAATGCAAACATTTTTATCCCTTTAAGAGTGGTGACCCTATTGATAAGCGGTTTAGTAATTATGTGTTCAGCAAAAATCATAATAATCATAAAAAAATATTAATGTTAAAAAAATCCATAATTAAAAAAAAATATTTTTCAAACTAATTAATTAAAAAAGTAACAAAATTTGTAACACCTATACAACTACAACTGACTGATGCATACAATAAGAGACTTTCATTCGTTGCCACAGCGTCGCATTACAAGCCTCTCCTTCTAACAGTATGTTTTGTCTCTTTCAAATTCATTCAACCCATTCATATACTATGTGACCTTTACAAATGAACTTTATGTTACAGTTTTATATGTAAGGCTGTTCTAAAATTAGTTGTTTTGGAAAATTTAATAACTCGGTAAATATTGATGTTTAAAGAACGTAAATATTTAATACGTAATAACGTAAAAATTTAAAAATTTATCCTCTATATGCGTGTTCATTTATTGTCGCGATTGTAAAGACATGCTGTATATTTATATCATATTAATTTATATTATTTGTACTTTTTATGTCAGAAGGTGGCAAAGAAGCTGGCGGTTCAGCTGATGTTAAGCGATAACCGCCGCCCATCGACAATTGCTACACTTGTAGGTATGCAGATGCATTGCTACCTTATAATAAAGTAGGCCTACCTCACTCACCAGATAAAACGTACAAGTATAACACTTCCACTTTCCGTCCGTCTTCCGTGAGGTCGTGGTAATTACCGGGATAGACCTGCACATTTGTGCAACAGAGAAGACTGTTGAAAACATACAAATTAAATCTTTCCTGATCTCTTCCGCAAGTTGACTGGTTAGGTATTGTGAAGCAAGTTTGGGCACTATTTTCAGAGCTTGACCACCATTTAAGACGTACCATTAGAAATAAAAATACATATTCTTTCGTCCTTAGAAGAATCGGGAAACAGTTATTTGATTGAGTCGTTTATAAACCGGGTAATAATTTTTTTTGCAGATTTACTTTAAATTTCTGAAATAAGCAGCACTATTTATAAAAATGTACTGATATATGCAATAATGCTGTAATATATAGTAAGCAATAAACAATGTTGTGTTTTTGATGATATAAAACACTCACAAGTTTTTTATTCTTTCATGTGTTAGTACAACAAAGCCATAAAATAAATGGCCGTCGCATAGATGTTAAGAAAGCACTGTCAAGGACTGAAATAGGTGGTCCTAATATTGGTGGAGGTGGTAGTCGACGTGGTGGCCGGAGTGGTCGTGATGGCGGTTGGAACAGCCGACAAGACTGGGGTATTAAATTGTATATATATATCAATATTTGTTTTCTAAGTTGCGTCAAACTTAATGGTGGTTGCAAACTAATCGGCAACCTCTGAAACGCACAGAATTGCCAGTCGAACTATTCAGTAAAGCTGGAAATTGGTTTCTTTTTGGGGTGGAATATCGATTGGAGCTAGAACGCTTTGATCCCTCATCAAGGCTCCATGTCTGCAGTTATGTACAAACACGTCGCTATTGATGAGATCGTCAGATCATGTAGGAATAAACCATGGACATCAATTCATACTGGTTGATGATAAAGTGCCTGCCTAGTGAAAATACAACATACAAATCACAAGATTAGACTGGCTTGCTTGTTCGCCTGGCTTGAACCCGATAGAGTATGCATGGGATGCTCTTAAGCAAGCTGTATGGAACCATCAACTATGTCTATACCCCAGGAGTAATTTTGTACTAAATAAAGTCTTTATCACAATAAATTTCCTATAAGTATGATTAAACCCTCTCTGTTTTTTCCATTAAATGTTTTTTACATATTTTTTTATTAAAAAATAAAAAAAAAGGTTTCAATTTTTTAATTCCAAAATTTATTTTTATTTTCTAAAAGTTGTTTTATTTTTAGTTTTTTTTGGTGTGTCGTTTTTCTCCATATTTTCACAAATTTTTAGGTGGTGGTTATAATTCTCGATATGAGGATGACAATGGTTGGAACAATCAAAATCCTTGGGAGTCTAACAATCCTCAAGGGAATTGGGATAATCACAGTTATGGAGATCAAGGGTGGTCTGAGGAGGATGATTTTGGCGATGGATATCAGCAGAACTATGGTGGAGGTCCTTTGAGATCAAACTATAATACACAACGCATTCAACCTTATAACACTGGTAAATTGATAGAATGAAAATTTCATTTGTAATGTAGAAATTATCTTGGATCTTTTACTTGTTATCTACAAACATGTAACACCAAAAAATCTTTTGTTTAAATGTGGTATCTACAATTTATTTTATATTCAATTTTATTATACACAAACTTTGTATGTATTGCATATAGGTGGTGGTGGAAATAGCCATTATAATTCTACGGGGCATACTTCAACTAGTGGAAACCGCCGATACTAGAAACAACTTTTGTCTTGTGAGTATTTTTAGTTATTTTCATACTATTTTTTTACGTAGTTTACTTATCTTTACACAATAATTTCTATTAAATTAACTTTAGGGAAGGGAAAATCAACTTCATTTTAAAACAACATAATATATTTCAAAATCTCATTTATCATTTATAATTTTTTGGAAATCATCCTAACTCATGTATTATAATGTAAATAAAAAAAGAAAAACAAATCAATTACAAAATTAAATAGTGAGAATAAAAAGGTTTGAACTATGTAGGGCCGAATCATTGTGGTAATAATCGATTTTTAATATAGGTAGCCACAAAATTGCAAAACGAGAAAAAAAAATGGATGGAAATATTCCAAATCGTTCAAATCTATCATTATTTCATTGTATGTCTTAACTGACATATATGTATATGAATTAGATATATGAAATAAAAAAGTTAATTTGTGTTATTAAGAAAATTATTTATTTAAGAAAGACAAACATAAAATTCTCTTCCTATTTATAAAATACTTTTATGGTTGAATAAATTATGTCTTAATTAAATATTTACAACTTTCATTGTAAGAATGTACATCTGTTTGCAACAAAACTCGGAATTTATAAAGTTACAACTAGCAATCTAGAGTAGGGCTAATTTGTATATCCATCATATTTCAATTACAATTTTATGATCTATAAAATTTAATTCCGATGCTATAATGAACTGTAAAAAAATATTGTTAAGACTCAAGTTTTTCAGAGGAATTAAATATAATGATCTCTCAAGACTGTTGCACTCAAACATTGGCAGAAATTATTGTTTTTCATGTTCAAAAAGTAAACATAAATTCTTTAACCCATTAAATATAATATAAATAACTCAATTTGTATAATACTTTTGTTTATAGTTTATTAAATATCTCACAGGATAATTTTTAATGCTTAGGTGTCAAGTTGCACTAAGTGGAAGCTAGGCAGGCTGATGGTAGAGTAGACAGGACTAGGCCAGCAGTCATCTAGATTTTCTGACAAGCGGAATTAGGCAAGAAATGTGTTAATTGGTTATTAAAAATTTTGCTTACACTTCGCTTAAGACATATTTTAATGAAGGTACTGTGGGGGCATAATAGTTTAAGCACTGGTTTATTATTTGACATCAATTTATTAAATATACTATCACAAATATTAAATGATATACCAATTTTATCACTACCAAGCTATCAAGCATATAGGAGGCTATCAAGTTTTTAACCTTTAAAAACAAGTTGCGTTTATGTTGTTCATTATGTGTAAAAATTTAAAAGAAATATTTAAGTTTTTAATTTTGGAGCATGAAACATTCCACTATTGATTTCCAAAATTTTGTATTGTGTAAAATTATTTATTTAGATTACAAGCTTTTATTTAGTTTTTGTAATAAAGGCTACAATTTAATGAGGAAATACTTTGTTTTTTTCGTTTATAACATGTGTAGCAATAAGACTAATGTTCTGTTATTATAAAAATTAGTATCTGAACATAATATTTATACTATTAAATGTACCATTTCCATACCAATATTGGTGATAATTTTATATGGATATTTGTGTGCAATAATAAATTAAATAACTGCTGTTTTCCATGGACTCTTCTACGCGGTGGACAAGCCTCTGTTTGTGGAAAAGGCCATGGTAAGTTGATTAAGCCCAATAAATGAATACTGAAAAATTTATCAGATGTTTTATTGTAGTATGTTTATAATATTGACTAGTTTTATAATATTTACAAAACATATGATACATTGTTACTTATGAATGCTAAGAGATAAATGTAAAAAAAAAGTAAAGTAACAGCCTATACATGTCCCACTGCTGGGCAAAGGCCTCCTCTGAACAGAGGGTATAAATGTAAAGGCAATATATATAAAGGCAATATATATATACAATTTTTTTTAACCACATACTTGTGTTGATCAAGCTTGTTTGATTCTTGACTAGTTCCAAGATGATTGATTATCTATTCAAAGTGATTGATTTTGCTTAATATCTTAACACTTCTGGTTATATTTTAAACAAAAGATCTCTTAAATACGGTAGCTATCAAAGTGCTTTTTACACTGAATTTACAGTGTAAAACGCACTTTTATTTCCGTAAAAAAGCATCGTGATCGAAGTTTTGTTGGATAAAATATAGGTAATATATAAAATTCTCGTGTCACGGTGTTTGTAATTGAATTCCTCCGAAACGGCTCGACCGGTTTTCGTGAAATTTTGTGTGCATATCGGCTAGGGTGGAGAATCAGACAACATCTATTTTTCATTCCCCTAAATGTGGTTCTACCCTACAAATAATTTATATGGCAAAACAACGTTTGCCAGGTCAGCTAGTTTAATATAAAGGTAGCTTTGTTGTTTCTATTTCAAATGTTCTCTAATTACACTAAATAAGCTATTTCAATATTTTCTCGGTCACATTATATTAAGTACATGATAAGGTACTTTTCCGTTAGTCAGCCGCTGATGTCGCCGAAAGCGAAGCAAACGACAAAGTAGTCAACGGAATAAAAGTCGAAAACCTTCATATATATTCTATGAAATAATGAATAAGTAGGATTCTGCGTTCTTATATATATTTCGAGAAGAAATAATAATAAGTACTTTATTATTAAATTTGATTTGGCCTCATACGCTCTCGCCCGAAATATATTCTATGAAATAATGAATAAGTAGGATTCTGCGCTCCTATATATATTTCGAGAAGAAAAAATAATAAGTACTTCATTATTAAATTTGATTTGGCCTCTTACGCTCTCGCCCGAAATGTCACCATTTCGCCCCTGAATGTCGTTTCACCCACTATACTTTCGTTGTGCTACGGACCTCGCCCCTTCGCTCTACTTGGCGTCGCGGGCTTCCATCACTCAGGTTCTCTGTGAGCTTCTGGCTCCGTATTTTTATAGTCGCTCTAGACCACATGGATTTGGGGTGCTCTGTGTCGGATCTGTGACTCACTTTTAACTTATCTAGGTCTGACAAGGCTCCTTATACAACAGGGAGGCTTTTCTAAGTGTATCCATTTTTTTATTAAATGCTAGACATAAATAATGTAAAAAATGATAAATATTTAAAACTCCTCGTAATTAATTACATTCATTTGAACTTATCTCAAAGTTGCGTGATTTATGGGCAACTAATTTTACGCGCGATCATTCATAACTAACACGCACACAAGTTCGTTTCAAAAGTATACGACGCATTTATGAATGACTACCGCATTGTCAACAAGTTCTGTTTTTTAGGAAATAGAATAGAATTTTTTTTGAAAAAAGTTTTTATTTCAATAAACTATTATACTACCGAGTCTAAACTTCCTGTGTGAATTTGGGCACCTTTAAAAAAGCCACCCTGTATAAAAACTTTTGCGCCATTTGCGCCCGGCTAAAGGAAAAGTACCAATGATAATACGAAGGACGTGGTTTGCAGAAACCACATGGAGCTCGCATACACATCCATTATATCAGTGATAACTATCTACAGATATTCTTTAACGAAATGGCATACATTTACGATAAATGATAATATTAGCAATGTTGATTCGTTAGTTAGCATTGGATGCAATAGAGGTCAAATTCAATGTTTTTTCTCTATTCTAGTATTCTTATGAACTCTTATGTCTACAACAATTTGCAATAAGTCCATCACTTATTGATTGTTGGCTGAGGATGTATTGGCAAGCATGGGCATGGCGGGGAAGAACCAAACGGACTTGTGAGTATTGTTGGGAAAAAACCAGACGCCGCCGCAATTTGCCTGAAACAAGGGGAATACGAATATCATTATTAACTTGTAACACATAAAAACATAATTATGTAGCTATATTGACGACCCGAATGGCGTAGTGGGTAGTGTACCTGCCTCCTGCGCCAGAGAGTGTGGGTTCGATCCCCACTACTGGTAAATATTGTGTGATGAACATAGTGTTTTTCTAGTGTCTGGGTGTTTATATATGAATAAGATGTATTTATTTAGAAAAGAAAAGTATGTTTATCAGTTATCTAGTACCCATAGTATAAGCGTTGCTTAGTTTGGGACTAGAGAACGTTGTGTAAAAATGAACAAATTATGACATAAAAATTTCACATACCTATATTGTTGGTCAAGATGCGCCTTCTCGATTCTTTTGTCTTTGGCTCTTCGATTTTGAAACCAAATTTTCACTTGTGTTTCACTTAGAGACAGTGCAGATGCCAGTTCACACCTATATTAAAATAAATGATTAGTATATTAATAAATATTAGGGAAAACAACGGTCACAATTAAATGACGAAACGGAGATGCTAATACTTTTATCGAAGCAAAAGCTATGACGTAATAAATCACTCACGGATTTTAATTTAATATTAAAATGGCAATAATTTTTTTTTTTCTAATTTCTTCAAGAAATACATACAATTAAAAACAATGTCTTTATTCTATTATACTTTCGGACGAAAGAGATTTAGGGCTCCTAAGAAATTATGTATTCATCTCTGAACGCCTGCGACGCATTTGCGTCTGCCGTGGTTACGTTGTGAACGCCCATAGGTTCTAGTGCTCATTAATTATAGTTAAGGGAGAATGCTTTGATTATCTTGTCAAGTATTCAATATATTATAATATATACAAGTATATAATATCCATGACATGTATATGATCGAAGGGAGAATGATCGTATGCTTTCTTTGTAAAAAAATAGTTTACCTTCGCGCCCTCGCTACGTATTCACCTCGGGCATATTCCATTTCAAGACGGAGCGTTTGATGCGCGGAGAATGTGGTCCGTTGTCGTCGTGGTCGGCTCTCTTTGCGTCTCCTTCGAGCTACTAAAACATAAAGATATTACTTAGTGTTTAAAATATTGATGTTACCATGTTCCGGTTATTATAAGTTTAATTTATTTTTTTACGATCACTAATGGACTTTCACTCTACTCATAATACTATAACAATCCTAACGTGATGCCAAATTAAGGACAAATTGTATTTTTATACATACTATCGACCCGCCCGGGCTTTGCACGGGTGCAATGTATTATACATATAAACCTTCCTCAATCACTCTGTCTAGTAATAAAAATCGCATCAAGATCCGTTATGTAGTTTTAAAGATCTAAGTATACATAGGGACAGACAGCGGGACGACTTTGTTTTATTCTATGTACAAATAAATCTTTGTCTCAATATAAAAGCTACTGAGAAATTTACACGCATATTAAAAATGTTTGTCTGGTTGTTCATTTATTTGTCAGGACTAATCTCCGAAATGGTTGACATAATTGTTTTAAATTTGATTATTAAACAAAATTATTCCTGGAGAAACTCGATCTTATTATATGCACGTAATTTGTAAGCAGTCGAAGTTTATTCAATTAACTTAGGAACTTATTAATTATGTAAAAAAGTTGAAATCTTAGAACTTCTTTCTAAGTTTTCGGCGAATTTCTGAATTTAACTAATAGAATAGTTTTTAATTCATCAAATATTTTTTTTCTTCCTTAAGCTTATAACCATAGAATGCAACTATAATATCGATGTGCATATTAGTGTGAGTGATTAATTTCGTTTTCACACGAGCGGACGCGAAACCGTCATATGGTTTCTCGGCGGTTTCATAAGCGTCGGCAAGTGATTGAGGCATGAGAAAAGAGCGCTTACAAGAGCACCGATTCCTCGCCATACTGTCGCGGAAGTAAGGAAACCTTGCCCCCAACAGGGGTGAATCACGCTCATTTTAATCGTTCATAACTTTGGCCATCCGATACCTGGATATCGCCTCGCGGCGGCCGGTATCATATAGATTTTAATACACCATCTGTTAGGATTCATGGGAATCGGGAACGAACTTCCGATTTACTCGTTGCTGCATGGGTTATTCTAATATGGTCGCTTTTTCCGCTTCATGTTTCACATTTGTAAATGCTTAGGGTTAACCTATTACGCGAATAATGTTAAAGTTTTGTTATTTACATGTTTTTT